ATTTGATGGCTGTTATCATGTGTGCCTTCAGTCTTCTCCTCTGAACACAAAGCATAATTCTTTCAGTTTCCCCTTAGAGGTCATGTTTTCTTCACCTTCAGTTGCTTTTGCTGCTTTGCAGAGGTTACTGTAATGCCAAGCTGGAGTTTTTGTTGTTTTTTTCACCTGTTTGCCTTGGGGCATTCATTCTGTTACAAATAAGTGAGAAGTGACCATTATCTTCTCTAATCTATGGTTATTTATACAGTAACCTATATTCCTGAGCTTGTTTTATCATAAAGTATAGCTCTTAGCCTTGATAAATAATTTCTCACTATGATATGATATGATCTTGCAAACAGGGGTCCCTAAGCTATTTATTACTATTATTATTTGCTTTATTTTTCATGAGTAACAAGCTGTCTGTATAACACTGTGAATGAACCAGGCAATTCACAGAAATGGACTGAAAACTATATCCTGTTCACAGAGCTTCCAAATAAACAGGGAGGTGAAGGTAAACACCAAGCCAAACTCTAGTTTAGCCAGGGGGAACAGTGCTGAACAGAGTATGAGAGATTTTCTGAAAAGCAGAGATTTTGGGGGAATCTGGAGGAATGTTTACAGAGATAATAATATCAGGGTGGATGCAAAGTGAGAAGAGTTGGAACATTGCTGGGATGGAAGGATGGCTGGATGGATGGATGGATGGATGGATGGATGGATGGATGGAGAGCAGCCTGACTGGGAGGCTGGGGAAGAACAGAGGGTGGAGATGAGGCTGGGCATGGTGGTGTTTGAGTGAGGTGTTTTTCTCAGGAAAGAGGAGTTGGCTGTAGAGGAGGTGTGGGAGGGAAGGCAGAACAGAATTGCTGCTTGTGGCGTTTCCAAAAGTAACATTTCCAAGCTGCCTCACTGCTCTTTGGTGAACATCAGATGAATTTGGTCCTGGTTTCCAACTTATTGTGGCTGACTCTCCCACTGGCATTGTGAAGGGGCTGGAGCAGGGGCTGCTTCTTCCCTCAGGGCAACCCTGGGCAGCCCTAACATCTCCCCAGCCTTTCCTCACAGGGAAAAGTAGTGATGGAGTGCCTCCATCACTGCTGCTGGTTTTGCCTCCCTGTCAGGAGAGGAAAGCTTCATGGGGTTAGCATGGAAAACAGCTCAGCTGTGTCCTCACAGACAGTGTGGAGGCTGCTGGCTGCTGAGAGCCCTGCTTGGAAGGAAGGAGAGCCAGGGGAGAGCCTTTCAGAGTGCAGCTGTAACAGGTCCAATGCTCAGAATGGACATGGACTTCTTAAAGTTTTAACAAATAGACCCTTTTTATAGTTAATATCTGTAGTATGTTTGTCCATAACACAGGCTGAGCTATTCACAAAAACAGCTACTGCATCACTGTTCTGAAAAGCTCTGAAATATTTTATATAATGTTTTAAAATCACACAATGGTATGTTAGGAATTACTCCAAGCTACCCTTTGTCTATTATCATACATTTTACTATACAAAACTGTCTTCTTTTCTATCTCTCTCTACACATTTCCCTGTCAAATGGAAGGTAAAGCTAAGTCTCTAAAATCTGTACTCTGTTTTTTTTTTTCTGCTTCATGTTTTTTTCCTTTAACTTTACCTGGAAAATGCACTGGTGAAACCAGTGAGAATTCTTCCAAATAAAGCCATTCACCAGCATTATACATCAGAAAACTGAACCTCTTTGCCTACTTAAAAGCAGAAAAAATATATTTTATTGCCAAGATAGATTCAAAAATTTGAAGTCTAGGTAGCTGCTTTATTTCCAGGAGTTGCTAATGGCAGAGTATATTTTGAGTCAGGGCAATAGTCACACCTATAAAAGTGATTGGTGGCTGTTTGATATCCACGATGTTTTTAAAGTTTGTCTCAGGCTTGCACAGTGAGTCCAGCACTTGTCTGAGTCTCAGAGTGACAACAGAGAGGCTGTGGGCTTAGAAGGAATTGGATCTCAGCAGTGACCAGCTAGAAGAGACGGGAATGAGAGAATTAATGTGATAAAGCAGCATGACTGTGGCTGTAGGAATTATTGTTGTCCAGATTTGTACTCCCCCACCACACCCAAAACCCTCAAAACATAATAGGAGAAACTTGGAGAAGTCCTCAACTGAAAATTGCCTTTAATCAAATTATATCCTTTAGAGGATATTTGGATGAATTATATGTTCTAGGGCATGTCAAATCTGTGCCTACAATCACCAGAACTGTTTTGGAAAGTTGGAAGCCTAATGCAGTGAATCTGTTGTAAGTGTTCCTTAGGATTCTTGGGAATGTGATTTATTTTAGTTTTTTTTCAAGACCTGGAAGTACAGTTGGAGGCAGTAAACTGTCCCTGGATTACTGCAAGGGTAGAACACACTTTACATGTTGTGTTCTCCCTGTGGTTTGCAGTTCTTGTGGTTTCCCACTTTTGCAGAGATGTGAAGGGGTTGAGGTGGAGAATCAGAGTTCAGCTCTGAGGTTTTTGAGGGTTGGTAGGTCTTGTAAATGGTTGGTAGGTCTTGTAAAAGCTTGGTGACATTGACCTGAGCTGAATGACTCAGAGTGAGTCCATTCATGGGACACAATGTTCATTGTGAGCACTGTGAGGAATGAGGATGCAGCTGTGGATCAGCTGAGATGTGGCTACCTCTTGCCTCAAAGACCTTGGATATGTTTGGGGGTGAAACTAAGATAACACATGAACAAAGTCCTCCTAAGAAGTAAACCACTGAAAAAAACCCAACCCTGTGGAGTGTAAAGAAGGTCAAACTCTGGGTCTGTTTATTTCAGAGAAATGGCCACAAGAACATTGGCTAATAGATGTTTGCTGTGCTTGTTTTCACAAGTACTAAACCTCCTGACTTGTCCTCTGCTCTTTTAGATGTAGCCATGCCCTTTCAACCTGCCTGTGCTGGAGGGACACTGCCTTGATCTGTGCTTCCTAAAAATGAGGAGGTGCTGAGCAAGCAAGGACAGCAAGGGTCAAATGCTGGCAGGGCTTTGTGAGTCCTGAGAAACACATCCTCAGCAGGGTCTGTGTCAGCCTGGTGTTTGTACCATGGTTGGTTACATCCTCTTGGCTCCTCGGCACAAAGGTGTGGTTTCTGCTCTCAGAAAAGAGAGCAATGAAAACTTCCTTCACACAGAAACAGAGTGCTTTGGGTTGGAAGGGACCCTTAAGATCAGCTACTCCAACCTTCCTGCGATGGACAGGGACACATTCCATGAGACCAGTCTGCTCAAAGTCTCATCCAACTTGACTATAATCCACCAGAGAGGCCTTTCACATCCCCTTGCCTGATGAGGTGCCATTCTTTGGAGCAATGCCTAGGCTTCTTAAGGAAAGCAGTAAGCCCTCAATAGCCTCTCCCACTGCAGGGGACATCTTTATGGTCTTCTCTCAGATTATTTACACCAGTCTGTGTCAGGTGATATTTATGATTTTTTTTAACTGCACCTTGAAATGCAGCGTTCTCCCCTTCCCACCACAGCTGGGCCAGCCAGCAGTGCAGGGTGTGGCTGAAGGAACGTGCACATCATGCAAAACCGAGTCCTCCTGCTCTGTCTGCAGTGAATTGACATTGTGAAGGAACAAAAGTCATTCAAACCAAAATTGCCCATTTGCTTTTTGTGTTTGGAGAAATACACCATGTGTAGTCCCAACAGAGGCATCTTGCATCAAGAGCTGAATTTTGCTTTTGCACCTCAAGAGCTGGGAAGTCACGCGGGCCCGGGGAGTAACGTTAAAAAAACATAACCTGCCAGAAGGAATTCACAGTAAAGGGCGAGAGCTTTTTTCCTCGTGACTAAAACACCTGTCACAGCTGCCAAGACTCTGCTAATTACACAATAACTTTATTATATCCCACTTGGAAGAACAAACAATACTTGAAGCACCAAAAATGAGCAGCCTTTAGACTAGATTAATGCAGGCAGAATGGCTGCATGGAGCCGGTGTGCTCCTCGTCCTCCCAGTAGCTCTGGAGAGTAAAATAGCTTGAAGAGTCCCTTCTTTGTTGCCAGTGCTACATAATAAAATAATTGTGCAATTAGAAGCAGATTACTGATGGGAGATGAGCATTTTTTATGCAGTGTAGGTAAAAGGCTGGCTGCTCTGAATAAGTTGAAAGCCTAACTGCAGCATCTCTGCTCCTTTTTACTTGAGCTTCTGGTAGTCCCTGGTAACATCCAGACAGGAGAAAAAGAGTGTCACTTGTTGAGTGTGGATTTTCTTCCCATGTTAAAATATCAAAAAGGTCTCATGCAAGATTTCACTGTGGTCCCTACCTTGTCCAACACCAACGCAGCAAGAATGGCTGCAACAAGTAGTGGAGGGTCTAATACCAAAATAAAACACAGGGGATAGGAGCCTTCCATTGCTCCTATCTTGCATGCCTGACTACTTTGCTTCATTTTCTTGTCTGTCGATGGTGCTGTGAATTTTGGGGGTTAAGAGGGTAAGGGGAAGCTGCTGCCATTTGTGGTTGTGGTGGTAGGAATGAGCCTGAGCTGAGCAGGATTTGTTCCAGTACATTGTGGGTCCCTGTAGGCATCAGCCTGACTGAAGGGCTCGGTGAGTTTGCTCAGGTGAAGCTGCAGGAGGGCAAAAAGATGGGCAACACACTGGGCAACAGACATATCACAAATATGAATTTGAGGTGAACTAACCCTTTGGGAGTGACGTTTCTTCAGTCTAAGCCTGGTTATGATTTCTGCCAAGCTTGTGATGCCAGAGTGTACAGTCACCACAGCAACTGCACTCTCATGACAGCCCTAGGAGAAGACTTTTTGCATGATTCACCTTTGGGATTTTTAGCCTGGTACCTTAAAGCCAGGAGGAAAACTTGAGATGTCTTCTCTACCCTGTGAGCTCCCTGGAGAAACTAAGCCTGGGGATGGGACAACAGGCAGGGGCGCTAGGATGGGCTGGTGGTGATCCATCCATGAGCATGGGATGAACAGGCCTCCCTGTCCTCTGCCGGCCCTGACGGATGTGTGTGCTGTTTGCAGGTCCCGTGGCAGTGATCAGCGGAGAGGAGGACTCAGCCAGTCCTCTCCACCACATCAACCACGGCATCACGACGCCCTCGTCCCTGGACGCTGGCCCGGACACGGTGGTGATCGGCATGACACGCATCCCCGTCATCGAGAACCCCCAGTACTTCCGGCAAGGTCACAACTGCCACAAGCCAGACACGTGTGAGTGCCCGAGCCACGGCCCCCGCCAGGGCTGAGGGGTGGGCTGGGGGGCTGGGGGAAGGAGGGTGGGGAGGGAGAGGTTAAGAGGATGAGGAAGAAGAGAAGGAGGTTTTTTGAGGAGAGTGGGTCTTGGTATGGTCCAGAAACCAAACTGAATCTCAGGTCTCAGAAATCACAACATACATGTAGATGCTTCCAGAAAAGACTTTCCACTCTCACCTTCACCTCCCTTCACCCTCCCTCTGCCACCCACCTGTCACCTTCCCCCCCCCGCCTGAAAGTGCCATTCCAAGCCGGGCTCTTCCTCATCAGCTCCAAGCATGAGGTCCCAGGTGTGAGCAAGAGCCCCCTGGGAGCGCGGGGATGGATGTGACCCCTGCTTGGCTGGGGAAAGGACCTGCCTCCCCTTCCTCCTCCAGCAGTTTCCCAGTCATGGGGCTGCCTCTTTGGCTCCCCAAAGGGCCAGGGGGAAGCTCAGGGTACATGGGCATAGGTGTGGCAGAAGCCTGGAGCTATCTTTGTCTCCAGGAATTTTAGATGCTGGATGTCTTGTTTTTATGGGCTTCTGTAAAGCTTCTGCATCTTTTCTGTATAAATTTGGTTCATGAACTGGGCTCATTAGACTAGCAGGAGGTGATCAAGTGTCCCTCTCCATGTTGTGTTTCTAAATTCTGAGCATAAAAGAAAAGTGCTGTGTAAAAGGATGCTTTTCTGGGAGTCCTGCACCACTTCCCACGCGAGTGGTGGGATGCAGCCTTCCCCAGCATGCGGCTCACAGGCGGTAGCTCAGCTCTCCCAGGCCTCTCACCAGCTCTGAGATGCAAGCTGAGCAATGCAGGAGGTTTGGGTAACATTCCTCTCTTGCTATTGCACATCCTTTTGGTGTATCTTGGCTCCAGGTAGAACTGGAAAAATAAAAATCCTGCAAAACCAAAGGTGCAAAGCCCTCAGCTTGGGCTATCTCTGTGGCCCAGCCAGAAGCAGGGAGTGCTTTGCTGATATCACCTCTGCTCTTCCCTTGGCTGCTGCTGACTCACGGGGGCAGGAGACAGACCTCAGCCCCTGCAAACAGGGAGAAGAGCCATCTCCCAACCTGCAGGAAGCCATGTGGCATTGAGTGCTCAGCAGGAGCACGCTGCTCCTGGCCTCCATTCCTCCATCAGGAGAAGGGGAGCAGCAGCTGCTGCTCCCATGGAGGTATCCCTTGGGCAGCCCACACTGTGCACCCTCATGGGTCCTGCTGGCTTGTGCCCAAGCTCTTAGCACCGTCCTTCACCTGCCAGAGCAATGGGATGTACGCAAAGAACGTGCCTGGCTTTCCCCTTCATTTTCATTTTAATGTGCTAAATTTGGTCTGTTTGTAGAGAGGGGAGGAGGAGGGCGGTGATTAGGCAGGAGTGGAGAAGCTGAATGTAGCGTGGTTTTCTGTGCTGTTAATTATATATTTTACATTTCTTATAGCACCTCATCTCAAAATGATTTACAAACTCTGATGGCTTGGGAGGGAGGGCTCCCCCGCTTTACTTTTTCTTCCTTTCCCTGCTGTGCTGTCTCAGATCTCTTTAATCTGCACATCGACCATTGCAAGATGTGGGTGCTCTTGAGGCTGTAGCAGAGCTTAAACCTCAAAGGATTAAGTTTTGCTCTGAGCCTTTGCCCTGTGGCACTTGTCAGAGCTGGGTGGGTTGCAGGGGAAGTCACTCGCAGCAGGATTTGACCTCAGAGCTTCAAGGGGCTGTTTGAGTAGGATCTGAAGGGTCCACAGAGATCCTTGGGGTGGTATCTGGAGGTGCTTCTCCTGTGAAGGGTGCCACAGGAGAGAATGCTCCAGCTTTTCCAGGACTGCAAGGCAGTGGGGCTGAAACCAAACCCCACAACACTGGTATTGCCTTTGGGGGATAATAAGAGGCAAACTACAGTTGGGTGCTTTCTGTTTTTAGATTTCTTTGTCATTCATGGGGCAAAACCCAATCCTTGACTCCTCAGGCAGAGTTGAATTTGGTGTGTGTTTTGTATTTTAGTCCCCAGGCTTTAACTTGGTCAAAACTTCTGACTTCACTGGTGGCTTTTCTTGAGGCTGGAAAGTTTCAAAATTCACATATTAAATTAACTGTGCTTTGGGGAGCTTTTGCTCTAAGGGGTTTGTTTGATCTGATGTGCTCTATTCAACATAAGCCTGGGCTGCAAAATATTTGTTGCTCCTGTTCTCCCCGTGGTTGTCATGCTGGAGGGTTTTTCCCTCCCCCTGTGTAGAGCTTGGACACAAACACTTCTCCCTTTGCTGTCACTTCTAAAGAGAGCTCCTCTGGGCTGGGGAGTGCCTCTATGCCCAGCTGAGTGTGTACAGATGCAAATTCCTCACTCCACCACCTCCCCCAGAGCTGCTGCCCAGCTGTGAGCAAAGGTGTTCCGTGGCACCCAGCATCTCTCCTTTACACTGAGCTGTTGCTAGAGCAACACCTTCAGCAAGCATTTTCCCTCTCCAACATGAAGCTTTTCTCCTTCCTTCCTCCTGCAACATCCCTGTGCTCTTGGATGCTGCCTGGGTCGAGGACATGCCGATCCCCATTGCCGTGCTGCAGCGAGGGGAGCAAACTCTATGTGCTTAATGCAGTATTAATAGTGCATTGATGTGATATAGATTTCTGTCACCCTCCATACTAGCAAGCATCACTTATCACGCAGGGATGAGGGATGTTTATTCCCAGCCACTTAGCTCTGCATAATGGAATTGCAGCTGAAATATGGAGAGCAGCTCCCTGCCTGTGCAGCCGGAGGCCTTGTGCTCCCTCTGTGCAGTGCTGTCCCATGGGATCCTCTTCTTAATATGTCCTCAAGGAGACAGAGACCTGTTCTTCACTGGGAATGTGCTGTCCTCGTGTCGATGGGATGAGGGGCACAGGAACCTGCCCTCACTTCTGGCTTTCTGGGATTTTTGCAGTTGTCTTACCCTCTTTCTGTTACTGCCTGACTTAGTGCAGAGGGGAGACAAGCTTGACTCAGAATTCTCTTTCCCTTCCTGGGTGAGGGGTTCTCAAAGAGCCACGGAGGACACCAGCACCACTGTGTTTTCGCATGTTGAAGCATTTAGTTGTTGAGAAGATGCTCCCCCATCTCTGTGCTGTAACTCCAGGCTGTGCTGGGTTTGTATCCTGTCCTTGCTTCAGCTGTCCTTGGCCCTACCTGGAGGGTTAAGAAAAGAGCTTGGCAATGTGGACAGTACAATCACAAGTGGATTTCAGAAGAATAGGCTAAAACTGCCTTTTTCTCCTGATCTTGTGTACACGGAAGGGAAACCAAGTTCATATCTGCTTGGCAAACAGCAGCAGGAGGAGCAACAGGTTGTGACGAGTTTGCACCTCCATATCTGGAAATTAACAGATCAGAGGAGAAGAATGGGACTTGTGGCAAGCATGGTGGGCAGAGAAAGTGATGAGGATGAGAGTTTAGGACTACATAACATCAGCCAATGGTCAGAGATTTTGGTAATGCAAAACATGATCCAGTCTACCCCCATTTGTGGCCAAAATTTGGCTGTTTCTCCTTCTGGGCAGGCCTGGCAGTAACAGCAGCTTCTTACGTTATCTCCCTCTCTTGAATATCAGGATTTGATTTCCCAAAATTGAAGTTTTGTAATTATGAGTAGCTGGAGACTTCTGTGGTGAAATATTGGTAATGTTTCAGAAGAAACATTTTGGAAGGTCGTTTTACTTTAATAATAGTAATTAAGTAGTAATTAATTCTAAGCACAATGCATCAGATGCAGATTGGTTCTTGGATCTGATCTCTTGAGCTTTACTCAAATGCCACAGCACAGTTTCAGTGCTGTGGAGTTGTTCAGTTCCCTTGTATTTCTCATCTAACAAAACAGGTCTTCTGGAGAATGGCACAAATTGGAGATAAAAATCCAAACCCTGATGGAGAAAATTAATCTGGGGGGCAGATCCCCCACCTGCATCCCAGCAGTGGATGCTCAGTTGCAACAAATAATGTGAAGCTGAACTTTTGGGGGAAATTCTTTGATTTTAGGGGAGGTTTTTGCCAGGCAGGACTGGAGCTGGCTGTGTTTTCCAGGACTGGCGCAGTCTGGGGACTGGGATGCATTCTCCACACGGGTGGAGCAGCCGTCCTTTCGTAGAGTCCTAATGAGGGTTTTTTTCAACCTCATTTATTACAGGCTGCCCTGACATAATTACATATTCAAAGTTAGTAATTACACGTATTCATGCTAATTAAGTAATTAGATATAATTACACTAACTGTAAATACGTGGTAATCGGCTAAAAAGAAGTACTTCAGAAAAAAACAAGGCAAATCACACAATAAAAGCGCCATCAGCACTCTTTCACTCAGTACCCTGTCTTTATCTTTTATTTCAGTGCAGCTTAAAAAGAACATTGTGGTCATTTCAAAAATCGTATTTTTTAAACAAATAGATTTTCTTAACTCTGCTTTCAATAGATCTCAAAAACTAAAAGGAAAAGGATATTTACCCTTAGAACTGTTAAATTTTTTTTGCTTGTCTAGTGTGTTTTGTTCATCCTAGTCATGGGAAGATACAAAGTATGCAGCATTTCTATTTTCGGTCAGTTCATGGTCCCGTTTTTGCCAAAAACAGCAACAACATAAAACTGAAGTCGTAAGTGCTTGTAGTTTTATTTGCCTAAAAAAGAAAACTGAGACAGTCGTTAGTGGAAAATAAACTTTTCCTCTTTTTTTTTTTTTTTTCTTTTCCCTGGGATAAGATAATTTGTCAAATATTCTTTTTATGTAATATAAATGTGGAGCACAGGGTGAAGTGACAGCAGCACTCTGCTTCTCCATGCCGAGCCTGGGGCCAGGCTCCACAGGTTTCAGTCCCTCCCTCACACAGAGCTCTGCTGTTTCTCCAAACTATTCTTTTCCTCTTGCCTGCTGTAAAATGAAGTCCCCAGGCTCTTCCCCAGAAGGACCCAGCTCCCATTACTCTTCTGAAGTAGGCACTTGTGGGTGAAGACTCT